ATTTGTCTGCTTTTTTTACTATTACTTCTTGAGAGAGTCCAACTAGGTGACTTCTGGATTGTTCCAGCTCATTATCCTCTGGGTTTGCCTTTGGTAAATCGGAAGTCTGGGTTTGCATCTTGTTTAAGTGTTTTCTCATTTTCTATGTTTGTTTGTTTGGTTTTTGTTTTGTTTTGTTTTTTTTTAAGTTCCTGGGTTGATGCACATAGATACCTTATGGTGAGTATATTTATTACTAGTATTTAGACCCCCTTGGAAATGATTGCTTCTCGGAAGTATCTTAGGTGGACCTGGGTTTTGGGTTTTGAGTATGTTGCAAGATCCTACCTCTTCAGTTTATTGGAGATGAGAATTTTCTCCCTACTTGGCCTGGCCCCTGGTTCTTTGGTACTGGTCTATAGTAATTTTCCAGACCCTTAGGCAATCTCTGTCTTGGTATACCAGGAAGGGCAGCTGATTAGCACAGTTATGTCACCTTGGCTAAAGTGATGAGCAAAAATGGCATCAAACAGAGCCTAAAAATGACAAGCTGTGGTAACTATTAATTTGTCATCTTTAATAGATTTGTGGTTATATAACAGTCTAAAACAAATCAGAAATATATTTTCAGTGAATAAGCCCTCACTGTAACAAATTTACCCTCAGAGGAGAAAATATAAAAGGAGTCTGAGGGGAGAAATAGAAGAGGAACAGAGGAGAAACAAGGCTAGAGGACAAAGGAAGATAATGCAAACTTTAGAAAACTGGTGAAGAGGACAGGAGGGAGAGAAGGAAGAAATAAAAACAAGAACAGAACAAAACAGAACAAAGCTAGAACCAAGGAAAAAACTAGACTATTCACACTCATATAAAAATAAGAACAGGGCTGGGAATTTAGCTCAGTGGTTCCACTGCCTGCCTGGCAAGTGCAAGATACAGAGCATCCTGGTACCAAAAAAAAAAAGACAAAAGAAAAATCTTTTAAATGTCCATTTCAAGGCATATATCTGCTGTCACTGGTAGGCAATATAGGCAGACAGAGTCCAGATCTGAGTTGATTAATGCCAGTGAGCCAGCTGTAGCTCTATGTGGTGTAGTAGGTAATCCCAGCAAGCCTACACTTTTGGTTCTACTAAAATTCAGGCTGCATTCTGGCTGTGAGGCTGGAACTGGACCCATTCTGCCTGCAGCAGGCTGTGAGCCCCTCACTGACTCAAACTGAGCTCCATGATTTCCTGCATGTTTGAACTCTGACCCTGACAGTAGCAGCTACTGGATGGAGCCAGTATGCAGCTGTTCTGAATTCTGAGCTCATTTGATCCTTCTCCAAGATGGTTACTGGCATATTGCTCTCTCCTGAGGGATGTAACCCCAACAACTCAGCAACCACTGCAGTCTGCTATGTCCACCCCTCCACTGCACTGGTGTGTTTCTCCATGGAGGTCTGTAGGGTCACCAGTAGACATGGTTCATCTGCAGGTTTGAGTTGCCCTTCCCACGCAGCAAGTCTAGCCTCAGAGAGGAGGCCCTGCTGCCTGTTACTTCCTTCTTCTTTGTTGGAGACTCTCTCTGCACTCTCCTTGTGGGCTTCACTTCTTGCTTGAGATCCTTCCCAAGGACCCACTTCCCTCCTTCTCTTCCTCATGTTACTTTATTTCAGTGCATGGACACCAAACCTTGGAGGGGCATGGTCTCTGCTGCTCACTACACCATCTTCCCAGAAATCTCCGCAAGATGGCTGTATCAGTATTGAAAATATACAGGCCTTTTTTTCTGTCATTCTCAAACAATACAGTGTAACAACTATTTACATAATGTCTTACTTTTTCTCCTTGCTGAGATAAAATACCTGACTCCCACAAGTTAAAGGAGGAAAAGTTTACTTAAGCTCAGTTTGTAGAGATTTCAGTCCATATTCAGCTGGCTCCAAACCAGGGAGGCATAACAGAGGGGCATCATAGAAGAGAAATGGTTCTTGATGTGGCAGGCAAAAGACAATAATCAGCAAGCCTGCTTTCTTTTTGTCTCTTTATATTCCATGCAGGCCATAAGCCTATTGATTGGTGCCAATCATATCCAGGGTGGGACTTCCCATCACCCACCCCAGAACAGTCCTAAACCAATCAGTGGACTAATCCAATCATCACACTGTGAATCCACATTCATACACCCTAAATATAGCCACCTCTAAAAAGCTTTACCTATGAGCACATGGGGCATCAGGACATCTAGATACTAGCTATAACATAAGTGTTTACATGGAACAGTGTTAGGTATTATAATCTAGAGATAACAAGTAATAGGCAGATCTAGAGCATGTTCATGGGTTATATGAAAATACTATGACATTTAAGAGATTTCAGTATCTCAGGTTTTACTTTATTTTTTTGAGACAGGGTCTCACTATCTAGTTCAGGCTGATCTTGAACTCTACAGCCCAGGCTGGCCTCAAACTTGGTGATCCTCCTGCTTTGGCCTCCTGAGTGCTAGGATTACAGGCGTGCACCACCATTCCTAGCTCAAGAATGTTTTGAAATTTGCAGAATAGTATACATCTTTCACTTATTAAATTTATTTGTAAGTGCTTTGTTCCTTTTGGTGCTATTATTTTTCTGTAGTGAAACATTTATTGGTACATTTTAGGCATACATAATAATAGCACTCATCATCAGGAATTTGCAATTTTGGTGCTAGTGGAATTTTAACTTCATTATTGGTTTGTAACTAATTTGTATATATGACTCTTGTTTTATATACTGCTGCTGAATACTTTTAGTAGTATTTTAGTAAGTTCCTTGAGATACTCTATAACAGGATCTTATCATCTGTCTTTTTTTGTTGTTTCTTACCTAACTGCCTTGTCTAGACCCTGGCCCAGTGTATGGGAGGGGTAAGAGCAGGCACCTTTTCGGTCCTGACTTTAGGAGGGAAAGCATCTTGCACTTGTAAGTAGGATATTAACTGTAAGTTTCCCATAGCTGCCCCATTTCAAGCTGAGGAAATTCCCTTTTTCCCTCATTTCTTGAGTGTAGTATTTAACTGGAAATAGGTACTGGGCTTATTCTTTTTATGTCTATTGTGATGATTGGTGGGGTTTTTCCCTTATTAATGTAGTATGTTATATTGATTTTTGTGTTTTGAGCCAACTTTACATTCCTGGGATAAATCCCATTTGGTTATGATAGTGTTAGGTTCAGTTCACTTTTTTTTTTTTTTTTTTTTTTTG